TTCATGGATGCCTGGATGTTAAACTCAATTGTTACACCTGGTAGAGCAGAACGCTGATCATTTTATTAAAGATGAAAGACTTTAGACAGTTTTTCAACTCTCAGTAATGCCACAGTGATCGTTTGATATATGGACCTGCAGCGGAGTTTAGACCCAGACACGGCTAGTGACGTCAGAATTAAAGACCGGATAGCAGCATAAGCCTCTCCAAACATTTCATGACTACACACATTAAGGCAGTGGGTGTGTAGTCACTGAGCACTTTGGAGCAGATGACTTTGGCACAGGAATGATGGTTGTGGAGAGATAGTGGACTGTGACAGTGAGAGGTTAAACATCCTGGTCAGGACTCCCTCTGGCTGGTCAGCGTAGGCACAAAGTTCTTTACCAAGTACTCCGTCCAGCCCAGCAGCTTTCCTGTTCACAGCTTTCAGCACCTGCCTCACCTGGTGTTCCTGGAAGACGAGAGAGCAGTGGCTGGTGGAAGCGCCTCAGCTGTGTCAGGGCTCTTTGTTTCAAAGTGAAAGAAGAGGTTTTAATTCTTATGCCAACGTGCTCTCATCAGTGGTGGAGAGGCCATTGCCCTCAGCCGGAAAAGGGTAGAGTGCCCACTCCGGGTCAGGGGCAAGTGACTGCCTAACGCGAGGACTTTAAATATCTTTGGGTCTTGTTCACGAGTGAGGGGAGCGGGAGATCAGCAGACAGCAGCTGGAAGGATGTCGACGCTGTACAGGTCATGGATGAATGGATGGGTGGATGCATGTCTTTCTTTCATATGTTTTTGTTTCTATTCTTATTTGATCTTATTTGTATGTCTGTTATCTAAATGCATCCTATTTGTGCTCTTCCTCACACTGTCAGTACATCAAGGACTTCTACAACAAGACAGTGGTGGGACGCAATGGAACAGGACTCAGTGAGGAGACCCTGACCCTCATGTACTCTCTGACTGTGTCTGTTTTTGCGGTTGGAGGTCTTCTGGGCTCACTCATTGTGGGGATGCTGGTCACACGCTATGGCAGGTAAAACGCTCGTCTTCATTTTTTTTTAAACTTAATTACTGAGAAGTATACAACAGTTTCTACTGTACATATGATAAGTAGTGCTGTCAGTGTTAATCTTGTTAAAATGACGTTAACGCCATAACCGCATTAATGCGGCAAATCTCCATTAGCGAGTTAGCGTGGATCGCCCCGTGCATGGGACTGCATTAGCACTGTTAGCTCGTTAACGCATTAGCACCGTCCAGGTATGTGTGGGCTGAAATTTCATATATGCAACATACAATATAATTCCATAAAAAATCCCCCCAAAATTATTTTAAAAACACCATAATACCTGGCGGAGG